CCCTCTTGGCCACCTGGGCACACTGCTGGCTCATATTCAGCCGCCTGTCGACCAACACCCCCAGGTCCTTTTCCGCTGGGCAGCTTTCCAGCCGTTCTGCCCCATGCCTGTAGCGCTGCGTGGGGTTGTTGTGACCTCAGGGCAGGACCCGGCCCTTGGCCTTGTTGACCCTCATACAGTTGGCCTGGGCCCATGGATCCAGCCTGTGCAAAGCAGAAGAGGGTCCCAGCGGGGTCCCTCTGGCTGAACCGGGGGCTCAGCAGCCTCACATCAAGGACGTTCTTCCCGGCGCAGAGCCTCACCTGATCGATGTACACGGCTGTGATTGCTCCTGAGTGGCCCTGCAGCGTGAACAGACAGCACGAGTCTTCCAGCCGAAACACCTGCAGGGCAGAAGAGGCAGATGTGAGCGTCCGCGGGGCAGGCGTGCCGTGGAACGACTCTACCTGAGCCTCATCGCTGTTGCTAACGAAGCAACGGATCTCGCTCTATCTTCCTCACTGCCATCCCCCTCTCAGGGCAGAGGCAGACCCTGCCAGCGATTTAGGACAGTGAGCTCACTGGAGGATGCTGCCAAGGGCAGGGGAAGAGGGTAACGGCTGTGGGGCAGTGACAGGGCGGGGAAGTGACGTGCAGGGCTGAAGGGGACAGCTGCTGCTGGAGGGATGAGGGGATTAATTAATTCATTGGATATTAGGAAAAATTCCTTCCCCACAAGGGCTGTCAGGCACTGGAAGGGGCTGCCCAGGGAAGGGGTCGAGTCCCCACCCCTGGGGGGATTTAACAGCCGGGCAGAGGCGGTGCTGAGGGACAGGGTTTGGGGGTGGGATGGCAGGGGTAGGGGAACGGCTGAACTCAATGATCTCAAGAGTCTTTTCCAACTGAAAACGATTCTGTGACTAAGACAGGGGGTCCCCCAGAACCCCCACTTTGCTATTCATGAAGTCAGGCATCCCTAAGGCAAGAGGATCTCGCGCTCTGTTGAGTAAGACACCTCTGACAGGGCTCTGTCCTTCTAACTCCACCGAGGAGCCCCTTCCAGGCTGACAAATATAACATGGGGAGCTTCAGGAACGCACGGGGTTGGATTCCAACCCCACCACCCCAACCCCTCACCTACCCTACACAGGTCAGCATTGCCCCCGCCCACGTACGAGACAAGCTCACGTCCCACAGCGTCCGCAGGGGGGATAAGCACCCGCGCCCCCCCGTCCCAGGGCAGCAGCAGCCCCGGGCTGAGGCTGGGGAAGCCTTACTCTCAGAGTGTGGTCCTGGCTGCCGGTGACCAGCCGTCCCGCCGCAGCCTTCAGCGCCGTGATCGGCTTCTGGTGGGCGCAGGACACGGTGTGGGTGAGCTGACACACGATGATGTCGCTGCTGCTGAACACGGGGGAGGACGGGATGCTGCTTCTGCTCGGGGCTCCTGTGGCAAAACACACTGGTAAGTCCTCAGCGCAGGCGACACAGCCTTGCACTCCAGCACTAATGTCACCCAGAAACGGGGCAATACCAAGGATGCCTGGACGCTGAACTTTAAGGAATTTGAACCTGGTCCTCCAAAGAGCTGAGCACTCAGCACTGGCCGACACCAGCTACAGCTGCTCAGTGCTCAGGAAGGACTGGAGCGAGGGTCTCCAAGAGGGTCCTCAGCAGCAGAACTCCCTTCCACAGACCGGTGGCCCCTACCCAGTAGCTCTTCTGCAAGACTGAGGTCCCTGAAGCCCAAGAGCACTGTGGTTAGCCTCGTCAGAGAGGCAGAACAGACAGCTGGGCACAAGAGTCTTTGCGCCCTATGGGGAAACGTCGTTCCCACAGCATTTCCACAGCCAGTCCCTTCCTGCAGAGCCACTTCCACATCTGTGGATCCCAGGGCATCCCCCCCAGGAATGCAACCATTCTCCTGGAGTAAGGCCAAGGCTTCTCTCCCCTCCAGGCCACCCCAGCACCAATGGAGCCACTTGCACTGCGAACCAGTTACCACCACGGATTAGTTTTGCAAGCGCCGTGGTTGTGCCGAGGCCCCAAGCTGTACTGCGGTTGCGCAGGGCTACGTGGTGTGCAAACAAGTGAGAACAGACCTTGCCAAAGGAGAAAGTAAGTGAGAAGTGGGAGAGGAAAGAGATACGGGGCAGAGCAGGCCTGGGAACGCATGTCTCAGCCTCCAGACCTATGCACTAGAGAAAATCAGCACTCGAGACACTCCCCCTGCACAGGGAAGTCCCAAAGTATTCCCCAGCTCTCCACAGCCGCTGGTTCAGCATCCTGCAGCACGGGAGCGTTATCACAAAAACTTATGAAGTGGGTGTGAGGATGAGTCAGCTGCAAGAAGGCAAGGGAAGAGGAAGAGGCTCGGCGGAGCTCAGAGCGGTGCACAGCACGCTCGGACACGCGCTTACCTCGGAACTGCAGGTGGTTCAAGGACGTGTGTGTCTCCAGCGAAAAGAAATCCAAAGAGCCGTTCAACCGGGCAGCGACAATCCTGAGGGAGAAACGCAGGCGCGTGAGGAGAGGCCCTTCCCCGCTCCCAGAGAGCTTCCGAGGCAGAGCACAAACCAGGCAGGCTCTCCCTGCGAGGGGGCACTCCTGAGTGCAAGGGAGAGGGGTGAATTGTTCTGGATATTCAGCTACCAGGAAGGCTGAATATCTGTGTGAAGAAGAAGTGGCTGCTGGAACAGACCCAGACCCAGGAAAGCTCGCTCCACCATGCCCAGCTTGAGAGGCAGATGCGTGGGAAGGAAGAGACCTCCCAGCCAAGCCTCTGCCACCCGGAGCTGTTTGACCTCCAGGGCAGGAGGGTCAGGGCTGGGGTCCTGGCTTACGCCCCGCGTTCTCCTCCCCTCGCAGGAGATCACCGAGTGCAAAAGCAATTACCTGTTGTTCAGGAAGACGAGCGCCGTGATGCCAGATTGACCTTCATCATTACTGCTACGGAGGGTCCCCTCGATAGCATCCCAAACCTGGAAGGAGAAGGGGTTAATGCTGTGATCCGGGCCAGAAGGCCGTCAGATCGAGGATCCAGGTAACAGCTAACCTGCAATCCAGGTAAGAGCCAACCTGTGCTACGCTGCGCACATCCCCTGGCCCCCCTAGCTGTCTGATCTTAACGAAGGAGCCTGGAGGCAGCTCCCATTTGGCACTGGTGATTACAATCATCAATCTCTGTCTATCTTAAAGCGAAGCAGCGAGTTCTCGAGTGAAGAACCTTTTGCTGGACAGCAGAAATGATGAATAGAATTCTGTTCTTCGAAGAAAATCCCCCAAGAGCTCAAAGGACCACAGTCAGTGCCGGCTGACCTCTCCAGGGACACGACGGGCACGGTGTGCCGTGCTCGGCCTGGAGGTCTGTCCCGTGCTGCACAACATGGGGCTCCCCTCAATGGGAGGGACGTAAAAATCACACTATCCTCTTTTTATTTTTCCTTCTAGCGCTACTGCCAATAAATGGCATTTTAATCCATACTTCACAACCTGCGTGCCTTTCTTACCGGCGTCACAACAAACGCTAGCCCCGGAGCACCGCACACGCACCCGGCGGCAGCGCGGGCTCCTGCTGCACGCCCCCCGTCCACAGCACCTCTCTTTGCTCCAGGTCTCGGCCCTGTTCTGAGTATGAAGCGCTCTGGATTTTGAAGCAATATTGTGATGTGGACTGGAAACAAGATTCAGCAGCAAAATTCAGTCCGTGCAGCTGCGCGGGAGAAGGTATCTGAGCTCAAAAGCATATTTAAAGGACAAAGAAAAACAATGGAGTGGCCTGCCTGTGTCTCTGTTGGAAAGAACGAGAGCCACCCACAGGGAGCCCAGGTCAAAAATCCTTTAAAATTTTATTTCAAAATGTGTTTGTTTAAAAAAAAAAACCCCGGCATTTATTTTGAAGGAAAAATTCTGACTAAATGTCCAAAAATGAAATTAAACTAACTCTGAAAGTTTCCCATCAGAGATTTAAATTTCTGAAGGAAATTTGCTTCAAAACCTGTATCATTCCCACGGAATTCCTATTAATTTTACCTTATTTCCTGACTGACCCGTAAGACTGCTTAATGCCACAGCAATCTTTAAGCTTCTTCAGTCTTAACGAGCTGCTGGCAGCTCACCCAGTGCCTGGGCTGGCAAACCCTCGCTCCTCACCTCCAGCTTCCCGTTACTCCGGCCAGCCACAATCAGGTTCCCTTGCAGGTCCAGGCTCCAGACAGAGCTCTCCAAGTCTCCTCCCCAGGAAGGAAGCGGTGCCGATTTGTCAAATCCCGTAAAAGACTCGTCCCCCAGGCTCCTTCTGCGGCTGCTGCAGCCTCCTTCCTTGGTCCCGCAGCCCAGGGAGCGGGGGCTGCCGCTCCCCGCGCAGAAGCCAGCCTGCCCGTGCGGGGCGGAGAGGCCAGTGAAGTTCATGCAGTTGGAGGTGCCGTGCTCTTCGTACACTTTACCAACCAGGCTGCTGAAATCGTAGCCGGTCTCCTTCTGGCGACTGCCCACGGCACGGAGCCGCGTCTCTGACTCGGCCACCTTCACCTGCTCGGAGAAGTTGGTGTCAATGAGAGAGGTGAGATCTGGCTGGTCGCAGAAAAGCGGAGGCTGGGGAGGGCTGAGCATCCTTTTGAACTGGTGACCATTCTCAAAAGAGTCGTCCAGACCATTCTTGCCATCTGGGCTATGATCCCAGCTTTCCTGGTAATCAAAGATGCCACTGCTGTCTCTTCGCAACCTAAAACACAGTAACGAAAGCTCAGTCCCCCCACCTCCGCTGTCGGAGAGGGCCCATTTCTTACAGAGGGGTTTGCACCAGCTGCTGGGCAGCGACTGCGGAGGGTTGAGTGATGTGGTACAGACACCACTTACCTCGGTTTGGGAATAACGGTGAGGCAGTCGCCAGTCTGAGCGTCCCACACACGGATCTGGCCCACCAGGCAGCAGCTGACGAGCAACATCCCATCGCTGGCCAGACATTCGATGTCCTGGGAAGGAAGAACATGCACAGCTGAGCGTGTAGCACCACCGCGGCCTCTGGACTCTGACAGTCACCTTGCGTGTGGCTGAGGAACTATACCGATGATAAATTTCATGTCAAAACTAACGTGGCTGGCTTAGCAACCTTGGGATACTCTGAGAACATGAGCACATCTTTGCCCAGAGTCCTAGATGCACACTGGACTGCTGCAAATCAGACTCCGTCTGTCTTCCCTTTCCCTGACAAAGTATGGCCCAAAGTGATGGTAGGATCAGGAGCAGAGGTGCAGCTTCTCTGGACGACACAGCATAGTGTTTCAAACTCCGTCCAACTAGGTGCCCAAGTGCTCTGTTTCATCTCAGAAGGGGAAGAAACATCTTTCCCCTCAAGAAAAATGAGTGAACTGAGCAGCAGCACAATTCTGTGCAAACCCATGGATGCTTTTAACACTGGAAACAACATTTAGCAGCCCAAACCTATGCAGTAACTTTTGGGAAGCAGGGAAAAAAGGATCCAGTAGGCATTAACTACCAGGAATCTAGAGCTATGCCAGCAAAGGCAGCTGGATCAGCCCAGCCGATAAAAGCCAACAGTTGGCCACACAGAGAAGGTAATAACAGAAACTGCAAGAAGCTCAGAGTGAGTCCCAGAAAGAAATGGAAAAGTTGTACAGGAAACTTCATGCTACAATATCCTAATATATATATAAATATATATATCTATAGCTTCTGTCCCAGCTGTTAGCCTCCACGGCTGCGTAGCCGGTCTGCCCTGCATGAGGGCTGTTATTTCAGTAAACCCAAGAAAACCGAAGACGAGTGGCGCAAGTCAGTAAAAAGCCTTTCTTGTAAAGGCTGCACCCGTCCAACCTACCATGAGGTGACCCCTGAGAACCAAGGGGACGATCTCAGTCTCAGGTGGGGAGTAGCCGTAATCGTCGCAGGGCAGGTCCCCCCTCTTCCTCCTGCTGTGAGAGAGCCCGTTCTGCCCGTAGTTCTTGGGGCAGAACACCCTGTACAGGCAGAAGAGCAGGAGGACCAGGATAATGCCCGAGGCCAGACCCAGAGCAGCCACCCTGGCAGGAGAGACAAACAGAAACAAAAAGGAGGTGAGATAAGAGATCCAATTATTAGTGCACAGACAGAGTTTGACGAACGCTGTGAAAGTGCTACATGTGTTGCTGGTCTAAATTTTTCAGCTGAGAAGACTTTCCAACCAGCGGTAGTAATTTGTGGAAAATCAAAGGGTTTTTTAAATGGGAAAATGTCAATTTCGACAAGTTTTTCTGATTTTTCATGAAGAAAAGAACATAGCAACTAAGACTTTAAGAAAAACGCTAGATGGGGATCGGGGTAATACAAAGTGCGTTCAACGCAGCCAAAGGAAAATTGCAGATTCAGAGGGCAAGCTGGGAGCCTGTCTTCTCAGTAGGAAAGGAAGGTCCCCGCTTGTCTGAGAGCTTGATCTAACAGCCAGTAAAGCGTTACTGAATCACAACGTTTATTCCCAAAGATTATTCTCATCCCTGTTACCCAGCGATAAACCGCATAACGCACCATGTGCGGTGCTAGGAGTAACAGTTTTAGCATCACCAAGCCATCCAATTAAAATACGTCTAAGCTTAATCTTCAAAATGCATGACTAATTGCACAACGGTTACTAGATCACAGCGAACACTTGCATATGCATCAAATTTGTATGCCGTTTGTCCATAGTCGTTGATATATATATTGGCAAGCAGCTCCCACCAACAGCAACGCGCGCTAGCGACCTGGGCTGCACACACCATCTCCTGCCAGGGAACTCAGAAAAAACAGCACCAGGAGAGATTCAATTAACGCTGCGCTAGCTGAGCTGGAGGGTCCTGAGCATTACAGGATTTTGCACTGGAGCTTTACAAATAGTTTTTTGTTTTCCCTCCAAGAGAAGAGCCAAACAGCCAAAGAGCAACCCCGTGGGAGTTAAGGCATGGCCAGAAGGTTGTATCAAGGAGTTTTTTACTTGTAAAGGGTGACATCCTGGTGCCCTTGCAGCTTGGACGAGGCTTGGTCAGGTTGAGCTTCAGCATCCAGCTTCCCACCGCTTGACGATAAGAAGGGGTGGTAGCGGTTAGCCTCCTGGGGATGCCGCACTTCTAAGGCCTCTTGTGGGTTCAGGTACAGCGTGACAGGGATTGCTGGAAGGATGCTGATGTATCTGAAGGAATGGAAAGATGCGAATAGCTTAGGAATAACAAACGCAAAAGACACAAAAATCCTAACGGGTAACCCAGCCCATCTTCACGCTAGCAGCCACGGTAGGACTCGGGATGTACTTTCAGTCCAGCAGTTCCAGGTATTCCAAACTAAAAAACTCCTTGGAAATATTTTTCTCTAAGGATATTTCCCAGGTCTTAACCCTTAACTCTGTGGAAGACATGAAGAGCCAACAGTGGAATGAACTGCTGATGAGATCAAACGGATCACACAGATTTAAGTAACGATCTGGTCTGGATTCCTGTTCCCTGCGGGCCAGAAGATCTCACCAAGGAGTTTCTTCAGCTCAGATGTCTCTATTCCTCCCATGTACCATCCCCATCACTTACAGATGATCCTATATTGTTTTGCAAAATTCTAAATGTCAGCTCCAGGGTAAAGGAAGACAACAGGCAAGTAATACACCAAGAGCACAGAGAGGAACACGTCCCTTATTCTCAGACACATGCCCTGGAGAGTTTGGTACCTCCGCACCACGCAGGAGGGCCCTGTTTAATCGTCTCCTCCTGAAGACACATTTGGATTAAGCCACATGGAACACAAGTGACCTAGCCCAGAAGGACGAAGGACAGAAGGAAAACCCTTGGGGTCAGTTCCACAATTCAAAGTGGCTGCGGCACTCGATGCCAACCCACTTGCCTTTTGGCCAGAGTGATATTGTAGTAGCTGAAGAGGGATGGCCAGTGTCTGAAGGAAAGCTTCCTCCAAATCTCCTCATCCTCTGCTCCCCAGGTAACCTCTGCTTCAGCTCCAAGCTCCATCTGTCCATTCCCTTTGCCCTCTGGTCCGTGGGCCCAAGTGTGCTGGTTTGGCTCCAGCCCGCTCAGGGACTCCAGCCCTGACTTCTGCTCACGCTGCTGCGTCTGGTTTTCTGACAGCTGTATAGGGTCCGATGGGAAGACTGAGAGATCAATCTTGGGGTCCCCAGCAGGTAGGACCCCTCCAGGAACAGGCATAGGAGGCAGACCTGCTTCACCCAAAGGACTTTGTTCAGTGACCTGTGACGTGAGGTAGGTGCGGAGACCAGCAGGATCCGTGTAAACCAGGATTCCAATCCAGATCACCGTCCCAGCCTACACATGATGAGCAAGGAGACAAGCTTGTTTAGTACACAGCCTTCACACTCCGCCTCCAACAGCTCATCAGCCCTCTGAGCTGGTCAACAACATCCCAACCACGGGCACACGCTGCACTCAGTTATGGCCTTACTCCTGGCAGATGCTTATCCTCTAAGAGGATTGGGAGAGGTTGCTCAGCACGCACAAAAATGGAACGCTCCTTTTCTGTGAGCCATCCAACTCTACCTGACGGTGGGAACCCCACGTCTCCCACGCAAACGCAGAGCAGGGAAGAGATACCTCGCTGGTGGCTGGGACCAGCACATCTGCCTCCCTCAAGGAGGGCTGGAAAGGCTTAATTCAGGGTCCTGGTTCATGAACTCTGCAAGCCCTACCGCAGCAGCCACGGTTCACAGGCTGATGTATTAATTTAAGTCAAATTGCCATTGGTGTTCATTGACAGTAACAGACTGGGTTGTGGTGTGTAGAGCCAAGGAACACGCACGTTCCTCCGCTCCCATTACAGACACCCAGAACAGAGGTGGGGGAGACAAGCAGGGGCAGTAACTGGTGCAACCACTGCAGTTACACCTGCAAAAGGAAAAGCCTTAAGTCTTTCATGTTGCAAAATATCTCCTGTGTCTTTAGCCCACGTTCTTTGCAAGAACAAAACATGATTTCTGCTCTGTAAACATCTTCTCTTGCCACTCATACAGTCCTTGAAAATCTGCTTATAGAAAAATCTTATATAAAAGCAGATTTTTGTCTCAAAAGCAAGTATCAGAAAATTACCCACTACCACCCAAACACCGTGCCAACAGCAGAGCCCTGGAGCTAACGCATGCAGAGCCATGTTCTTAGGGAAGTATTTCTCAAACTGTATTTACCACGGGGCAGCACGAATCTTCCAGGGGAACAAGGATGCATGGAAGAATTGGGCTTTTTTTTCCCCTCCCTGGAAGCCTATTTGGGTTGGGTTAGTGTCCAGCAGGAAGGGGCACCAGGTAACATAAACACCACGAGGCATACCATGATGAGTCTCTGGGCCAGCCGGGTCCTGGCGAAGAAGTAGATCACCCGCAGCCTCTTTGGCAGGCGCAGATTCCTGAAAGACGATGGCTGCAGGGTGATGGTGTGGGGGGTGGCAGGTCGCATAGCAGGCTGGCGTTCGTAGCGCTGAGAGCGGCTGACAGGCTTCGCTGGGGGCATGCAGGCTTCTGCTGGCAACCGTTTGTTCAGATCAGCGAGCTGCCAAGGGAAAAGCAAACGTGTGAGAGCCGTGGCGGTGATGTCCCTCAAGAGAAACACGTGCAGTCAGCTACCTTTGATACATGCCCACAGCTGAGCTCCCGCCTTCACCCTCGAGTCAATCTGTCATAGAATCATAGAATGTTTTGGGTTGGAAGGGACCCCTAGAGGTCATCTAGTCCAACCCCCCTGCAGGAGCAGGGACACCGCTAACTAGATCAGGTTGCTCAGAGCCCCATCCAACCTGGCCTTGAATGTTCCAGGGATGGGGCCTCCACTACCTCTCTGGGCAACCTGTTCCAGTGTTTCACCACCCTCATTGTAAAGAATTTCTTCCTTATATCTAGTCTAAACTTACCCTGG